GGCACAATGCGGAAACCAAGGCTCCCCCCAGCAAGGAGTCTCGAGATCACAGAGTGCAGGCCCTACGGGCAACATTCTCGCAGATACTTTGATACGATCCAAAAACCAGTAATGATACTGCCATGTGGCAAATGGAAAGTAGAAATGGGACATAGTGAAATGTGGTGTGAAAACGGATCTAGGGTGAAACGACAGAAACCACAACGGCGCTCAGAGGCCACTCAAATTCCTCTCAGGTGTGCTTTGTCTATCTTCAGCGTCGAAGAGGATTCTAGTGCTCATGAAGGACATCCTGGTGAGTGGGGTCCGGCAGGTTGGCGTAGTGCTCTTCCGAAGAAGTACTAGATCCTTTTTCAATACGGGGCAATAACAACAGAGCTTTCTGTGCTTGACTGACTTCATAGCTTGCTGAGATAATGCAATTATCCAAAATGTAACTCAATTGATGTAGTTTGCGCATCGCATTGTCAGGGTCAGTGACCCGCTGGGGCGGAACTTCTGGGATGCCCCGGAGCTTCTGGCACGCTTTTTCAAGGAGTTTGGTGGCAATCTCAATTTCCTTACCTGTAACTTGGCACAATGTCAGCTGGGCAATTGATTTGGCCATGCGGTGCAGCGCAGCTTGTTCCATTTCGGAGATGTCGGCAGGGGTAGGCTGAGTCAATTGGACAGCTATAGCACCAGTTGGTGACAGGCAGTGGGCTGCTCTGAGCTGCTGTCAGTGCATCAGCGCGCAGATTGAGCATAACAGCGACAGGTACCATGGCGAGATGTACTTTAACATCGTCCTAGTTTATTACCACCAAACACAAAAACAAAGGAGGACCCCCACCCACAACAGAAAACCAAGAACACAAAAGAAACAGCAGAGGGAGGAGGGGGAAGCCATCCAGCGCGTAGCTCGCGTTGCACAATACAATAGACCAGTCATGGGTCTCCCATGTTGGCCTTTGTTGTTATTTGTTTTTTTTTGTTTTTTTTTGGGGGGGGGGAAGTGGGGGGGGGAGATAACCAGCCATGGGACTCCCATGTTGGGAAATTGTTACACTTAAGAACCTAACCAGTTAGGGAGCTTGGGCTATATGTACGGGTACTACCAGTCGTGGGTCTCCCACGTTGGTAATCGCCGCTGCAAGCATCGCGCTACTGAAACCGATCTTGTAGTGCTTCTGCTTGTGCGGCTCTTCGTGGAGGGCCGAATCCTCTCGATGAAGAGGCTGCGGTGAAGTCTGCCATGGGCATATCATTTCTTACATCCGGATTTACCATTTGGCAATGGGTGTGCTTGTTTGCTTTCAAGTATTGCCGTAATTTCCGAGATGAGTCTGTCCGGGTTTTCCACTAGTGCCTTGGCTTGATCTAGCGGTCGGTCCAGGACGATTGACTAACATTTCTCCACCATCTTTTTTAATGAGCACTGGTCGGCCTTCTTGGGCTTGATGTAGGATGGAGAAGGTTTGATTTTCGCAACATCTCTTCCATTTTTCCGCTGCCCTGACCTCTTCCGTGCCTATGTTCGAAGGAACTTCCTGTCAGGGTAATCGAGTTTTTCTCTGAATGGCTAGTGGCCCTCCTGATGCCTGCCAAACACGTACTTGAAAATTCGATCACCCCACTTCTCCTCATCCTACTGAAGGACAACTGGTTCAAAGAGCTTTACCAGGTCTTAAGGTCGCGTCGCTGGACAGAACCGAATCATTCATCAAAACCATAGAAATTGGTGTCAATGTAGCGTGGAATGTCAGTCATATAAATGTATTTATTCCAGCCTGGATGGTTCCGCCAGTATACCACAGCCTTCGCCTTGAGGAAATCAAATGCCGCAATCCAGGACGGCCATGGGGGTCAAATCCTTGCGCCCAACCTGGTTTGAAGATGAGACAGCCGCCAAAGCTGCTGCAGAACCAATGCATGGACTACGCCTCATCATCAAAGAGGACGTCCTGCCCCTTAGCAACCATCCCAAATTCGAAGCCCCACACTGGACAGTTGAGAAGGTTTTAGAAGAGATCTTAAGAGATCTTAATCTGTGAAGATGTCAAGTACGGCGCCAGACAGCAATGTGAGCCAAGGAAGTGCGGCCAGTGCTCCTGCAGGAATGGTCTCAGGAAATAAGGGTGCTATTCATGCAGGAACAATGCCTGTGATCCATGGGCAAGCACGACACCTTGGCTGAGCTTTTCACCAGGCACTACCCCTGCTGTTTTGCCAAGTCTCCAGTTGGATTGCCAGGAAGCCAATCCAGTCCTGGGAACAGTGGACAGAGTGGCAACACAGCTGCCACGTTTGGAATGCCGCCAGGGTTTTTAGATTCTGGTTTTACTGGTCCTGGAGGACCAGCACAGGAATCCACCACCACAGCAGTAGACCCGTTGATGGCACAGATGCTGCGCTAACAGATGTTGCTCACCCAAGGGGTGATGGATCCTATAGGACAGGACCTGGATTTCCTCAATAACCAGTGCAGTAGACACCAACAGTAGCGCAGAACTCTACTGGACCCGTCTGAGAGGTTGACAATGGACACAAAATGGATTCCAGCAGCACCACTGCCTGACTGGAAGTCTTGGAACAACAGGGCAAGAATTTTTTTTTTTTGCCGGCGCCCGTTGCCTTTCGGCGGGCCACCACTTGAGGCTTATTCGCGGACCAGCGGGGAATCGAACCACTACCGGCAGTCTACCAACTGAGCCACGAGGACACCTACAACAGGGCAAGAGAGTAGCTGGTTTCAAGGGTTGGTTAGAGAAGTTTGCATCGTGGCTGTGTCTTGTCCACGATAGCCATGCGCAAGAGCTCAAGGAAGCTATGAACTTGCCATACCCTGTGGTGATTGTGAATCAAAACCAAACAATTCGAAGCCGTCGATTGTTTCATTTATTTCAGCAGAGTTTTTCTGGATACTCTAGGGTAAACAATGTGGTGAAATCTCAGATTGCATTCTATGGCATTCAGGAGGCAAATGGTTTTGAGCTTTTGAGATTGCTGCGCAGGGAGTTCAGTTTGATGAGCCGTCCAGAGGCGCTGCAAACAGAGAAGCCTGCCTGAAGTACACGGTGAAGAAGTCAGAGAGACATCTTCGTATGGATGTACTGAGAGAAATTGGGGCTGAGATCGAAGGATTTCACTCTATGCTGGAAGCTTCACTGATTGCTGGTCAACTGACTGACTTGCGCCATCACTAAGGGGGATCAATACCTTCTCTACCTGAGAAACTTGCCAGACAAGGTAGCTTTATGAGTTCTCCTCCAGCCTCAGCCCTATATACCAAAATGCATATGCAGGCACCCCAAAATGCATATCTAAAATGCATACCTTAGATCCTGTTTGGAGAGAAATGCTTCCCTCACATGTGTGCTCAAACCCTATTCAATATCCAGCTGAAGCCGGGTGGGAAGTGTGTGGGCAATGGCAATTTGTACTGGTGATTCCTGATTCTCTCAAGAAACAATTGGG